AGAATGGGCGAGCTTCTGCGATTTATTCACTTCGCTGGTGCATAATGACTCCCGCTTATCAGACGCCACGAAGCTTCAATACTTGAAGTTGTGCTTGACGGGCGGGGCCGCGGAGCTCATCAGGGACGTGTCGACAACGAACGCGAATTACGTGGGTACATGGAAAGCGTTGAGGACTCGGTACAATAACCCGCGCTTAATAGTCAACAAGCTACTTAGGTCATTCATGGAGATTCCGAGTATGAGAGTAGAGTCGGCGACTGCCATGCGAGCGTTCGTGGATGAATCGCAGCGTATTGTTCGGGCTTTGGAAAACTTACAATTGCCAGTCAGGCACTGGGACGTGTGGCTAGTATTTTTGCTGGCTGATCGGTTGGATGCGGAGTCACGAAAATTGTGGGAGGCCGAGCTCAGCGCTAGAGATTTGGAGGATAGCGCAGACGGGAGCCCTGACGGGCCGGATGCCCTTAATTCTCAGCCGAAGTATTCTGATTTAGTTCGATTTTTGGAAAAGAGAGCCCAGGCTCTTGGCATGATTTCGACGGATAGAAAGGCGGAAAAGAGACCGGTGTCTGGCTCGGCACCGGCACAGGCTCGGAAAGTTTTTCACGCGGGCGCGACTCAGCAATCTGCTTCTTCGAGGTGCCTCTTGTGCTCGGGAGCGCACCCACTGTGGAAGTGCACTAAAATGAAGGAGAAGGCTCCGCATGACCGATACTCGACGGCGCGTCGGCTACAGGCCTGCTTTAATTGCCTCGGGTCGCATAAGGCTAACGCGTGCCCTTCTTCGGGGCGTTGTACCAGTTGCGGAGGCAAGCACCACTCGATGCTTCACCTCAAGCCTCTAGGAAAATCTGAACGGCAGAACTCGAGTGGTTCACAGCAGCAGGGATCGGGCGGCGGTCAGGGCGTGGGGTCCAGGGTCGGCGCGGCTGCTGTAGCGTTGCATGCGTCCGCGATTGCGACGTTGAGTCGCGGAGTCCTTTTGGCTACTGCTCGAGTGACGGTGGTGGGTCCAGCTGGAGATAGCACCGTCGTTTGCGCCCTTTTGGATCAGGGCTCCGAGGCGTCCTTCGTATCAGAGTCGGTCGTGCAGTTGTTAGGCCTTTCGAAGGAGCGTGTTTGTGTCGCTTTGAGCGGCCTGGGCACCAGTTCGGTGGGTATTGCGCGTGCGACCACGGAACTTGTTTTGAAATCATCGACCGATGAGGGCTTCGCGATTCGGACAAGCGCGTTTGTCCTCCCTCGTCTCACTACGCAGCTCCCGGCAAAGAATATCACTGATTTAGACTTGAGACGCTTCACCGGGTTTAAGCTCGCTGATCCGGAATTTTTCATTTCAAAGAAAATCGACCTCATTCTGGGTGCCGATGTTTATGGGCAGTTGCTCCGACCGGGCTTGGAAAGATTGGTTCCTTCACGGATCGTCATGCAAAATACGGCATTTGGATGGATTGTCTCGGGTGGGTTGCATGAGGAGCGCTCACGGCGGGCGGAGCAAGCTGACTCTCGAGTGTATGTACAGGCGCTGCACTGCGCTGCGTCGGATGAGTTGGAACGGTCACTAAAGCGATTTTGGGAGCTCGAGGACTTACCGGTGACGCAGGTTAAAATGAAGCTCGAGGACGAGGCTTGCGAGAAAATATTCAAAGAGACGCATGGGCGCGACGCGGATGGAAGATATGTCGTGCGGCTGCCATGGAAGGCAGATTTACCGTCTGGAGCGGCTGAAACAAGGCGGATGGCCGTTGGCTCCCTTTCTTCCATGTACCGTCGGTTTGCGCGCGATCCCCAATTGGCGCATAGTTATCAACAATTCATGACGGATTATGAGCGACTGGGCCATATGACACGGGTTCCGGACTCTGAGGTGCGCGAGGATAAAGCGTGGTATTTGCCTCACCATGCCGTGGTGCAGTCAACGACGGCTGATTGGAAGCTGAGGGTAGTCTTCGACGCATCGCGGCGAACTCGGGATGGCCTTTGCCTTAACGGATTTCTGCACACGGGTGCTCCACTCCAACGAGACCTCTCGCTAGTTTTACTCAATTGGCGGCGTTATTTGTACGTGTTTACCGCGGATATAGTTAAAATGTTTCGACAGATCCGCGTGAAGCCGGAGGACCAGGATCGACAGAGAATTGTGTGGGCGCCTAACCCGGACTCTGTCCCACGAGATTACCGCTTAACTACGGTCACGTACGGCACGGCATGCGCGCCCTTTTTGGCGATACGAACTCTGTTAAAATTGACCGAGGATGAGGGCTCGCGGTTTCCGCTGGGAGCGGCATGTCTCAGCACTGAAACATACGTCGACGACACGTTCGCCGGGGCCGATGAACTGCCGGACGCGCTGCAAAAAAGAAACGAGCTCGTTAAGCTGCTGGGTTGTGGCGGGATATCACTAGATAAATGGGCCGCAAATCACCCAGAGCTTATCCCTCCTCGACTAGCGCAGGAGGACGTAAAACAAATCGACGAGGACCAGTTAGTAAAAACACTCGGCGTGCATTGGAGTCCGGCTCACGATCAATTTAGATTTAGCTGTAGAGACGTCGCAGAATTGTCAGCTGCCTCCACGAAGCGGACGGTTCTCTCAAACATTGCTCGACTATTCGATCCGCTTGGCTGGCTGTCCCCGGTGACAGTAGGAGCGAAAATCTTAATGCAGGATCTGTGGATTCAAAAATGCGATTGGGATTCCCCTCTACCGGCAGAGATTCGCGAGCGTTGGTACGAATACTGCAAGTCATTGGCCAATCTGCCGTCGCTGGCAGTCGGCGGATGGTTGGGCGTTGCAAGTAATTGCTCATTACAAATTCACGGATTCTCTGACGCGTCATCGCGGGCCTTCGCGGCCGCCGTATATCTGCGCGTGGATGGAGGGGACCGACATATTAAGGTGTCACTGTTAGCCGCAAAGACGAAGGTCGCTCCGGTAAAGACCGTCAGTATACCAAACTTAGAGCTTTGCGGCACCGCTCTGCTTGTTAGGTTGATTGGCCACTTGATGAAACTGGACTTTCTTAAAACAGCTCCGGTCTTCGCTTGGTCCGACAGCCAGATTGTGCTTATGTGGCTGCGCAGGCACCCCTGTTCTTGGAAAACCTTTGTTGCAAATAGGGTGTCGTTCATCCAGACGGAGTTGCCCTCTGCAACTTGGAGGCACGTGCCGACAAAGGAAAATCCGGCTGACTTGGCGACACGAGGAGCCGATCCTATAGAGTTGGCGGAGAATGGGCAGTGGTGGCACGGGCCTCGATGGCTCGCTNATACAGAGATGTACTTGTAACGTAGGTACTTTTATAAAACTTTAACTGCAAATACAAAAATGTGAGTGATTACAGAAACTAGAAAAATGTTTGAGCTGAGCTACACAGGCAAGACTAATACTTTATTTTGGAAACAGATCTCTGGTTAACTCTTTTATCATCGTAGGTACACAACAAAAAAAGAACTATACTCAGTAAAGCAGTTAAGTTCAAACTGCATTTTTTTTTAATTTTAAGTTTAAAATTATACTGCAAAATTGTTTGCCCTTTTGTTTTTATTATTTTACATAACAATTTTTATAAAAATGAACCTGCAATCTCAGTACTTTTGTCAAGAGTCATATTTCAACCTTGCATATTACCATATTTATCGGAAGAAATTTCTTACAAAACATGCAATTAGAAAATATCATTTATCAAGGAAAATAAGGAGAAAGTTTGTCTTGCTGATATCTAATAGCACAGTTGAAAGGTCTTAAGTTAGTAAATGTAGATGCATCTTAACACTCAACACTACTGATGACTCAACAAAATCTACATACCACAACAAAGTATGATATTTTAAGAAGCGTAGTAAATTTCTTCTAACGACGTTGTACAAAAATTGAAAATTTCTGAGAATTTTATTAATTAACTATGGCGACGTTTAAGCAATGACTTTGGGAGCCTACGGGAAAACTATACATCGGAGACTTTTTTTATATAATCACGAACAACAAAATTCATTTAAAGTAGAAGATCGAGTGATTTTGCATGTAATACATTAGACGTGATTCCTTTCATACATTAAAGTGTAGACTAATTTAAACGTCAACCGAGACATTCTCAATGGTTCTTGGAACGTTTTGGGCTGTAAAAAAAGTAATTGTGTATCACCTTGATTGTAGTTTTAATTATTTTTAAGATTCAACTGCTACTCGACTTGGCAACTAAGGCAGAGGTGTGGCATTTACAGTTTAATAATACTAAAGAGAAAAGACATTATTAAATTACTTACGAAAATTATTCTTTTCTTTTGTCATGACTGTAACATTATCGCAAGCTACGAATGTTGAATTTTATTTTAGTGGCACTATTGTTTCTGAAAAGATTGTTTTAAATTGAAAATATATCTAAAGCTTAGCCTCGTAGAAGACCTAATTCTAAAAGTTAAAGTTTATGCTAAAAAACTGAACAAATTTTTTTTTGTGTTATATCAAAATGCTGCTCTAAAAAGCCTATAAGTTTTGTATTGCTTATATCAGTGATTTTGTTCGTAAGGATAAAATGATAAACACCTTTTAATATGCTTACAACGCTTTTAATAAAACAAAGTTATAGCACTGTTTTTATAACGTGAAAGGCTTTTCTCCACTTCATCTACATGCACTTCTCTGCAGGCTGATCAAGTACCACCTTTTAAGTCAGTGGTATTAAATTATCTGCAAACTGAATCGAGACTTTGTGTTCTGTCACAAAATATGCAATGGTAGTTTTAGAGCTCTGTGTTCTTTGTTGCTGTTCGGGCGTTTTGTGACCCGCGCGCTCTGCGTCTTAATTTTACCGAAGCAATTAGTGCGCTATCCTTCTCTCTCCCTTGACGCGCCGTCACCTTTTTGAGAGCTGAGTTTTCGCCGCGCCACCTGTTTTTCTCTATGGCGCAACAGGCCGCGCGGGCCTTGATTATTAGCGTCTCAACTGCGGGAGAGGCATTTTCGGCGTCCCGCGTGTTGTATTGTAAGCGAGCGTGCGACTAATTAATCGGATAACCAACAAATGTATACGAGTGCCCAGGCGCTGGGATAGAATAGTAGTGTGAGTGAAGCGTGTGTGGTTTTGGTGTTACTCGGTGGGAGAAGGTGTCCACGGGTAATCGTGATCTTCTACGGCGAGCGCAACGCGGCAACAGAGTGTTGCCCGTCGTCCAAGCGTTTGGCAGCTCGAGACGTCGGGACGCGCTTGGACAGCCAGGTCTCGAATCTCCTGTGCGCTCCCGAGCCCCCTGCGGCACTTCCTCGACACCCATCCTCCGCGGTGCGGTGTTGGAGTATTTATTACGGACGGCGCAACTGAGGTAAGAGAGCTCTCTTTAGGTACTAAAGGATCCTCGCGAATCGTGTAGCGCGTTATCTTGTCACGTTGCGAGCGAAGCGTGTAAGGCGTAGCATTAAGGTTACTTATTTCTTACAATTATAATTGTTCTGTACCTTTTATTGACTGATTATATAAAAATATTACACTTACCCCGGCTTTCTCTCAATCCGCGAGAGTTTTATGCCTAGGTAAGTAGTGTCGTCCCGCGAATAATTGTTGTTTTTATTTATAAAAGAACCCGCTCTCACTCATCCATCCTACATTTTATCACCCTGAATATTATAAATCGGCTGCATATGTTCGCGTTGTCTCAAAGGAGAGTTGACCTTGTTCATGGTGCCCCGGGTGAGGAGTGAGTGCGAGGTTCTTTAGTAGCGTACTTTAGTTAGTTTGCGCATTTCATTGTAATCCATATATTTCGGTATGTAAAAAAGGCGTTTGCATTGCAACGGCTTGTTCTTAGAATTACAAATTCTTCAAGATTCTCGTGTTATTGAGATACTTTATTGTGCGCGAGTGAATTCGTCTGAGGTCGGAATAGAGTGCACAATGGCACCCGTAGCTCTGAGAAAGCTGACGTCGATGCAGGCGGCCCGCGAGGCTGAAATAAAAAGCATCCACGAGCGATTGATTGCGAAGCCACGTGAGTCACTTACGAGAGACATTGTGAAGGCCCGACTCGATGCCATCAAGGAGGTATGGACTGAGGCGCGAAAAACCAACGCGGATATAGTCATTCGAGACGATGTTGAGGCGGACGCGTACATCACGGATAAATGGTTCGAGCGTATGCAGGGCGTGTATGAGGGTGCTTTGGACGAGATGCTTATGATGCTTGCCCCTTTCGAAAAGGACGCTGATAGCAGCATTTCAGATGCGGGCTCTGAGTCGCGTGTCGCGAGGCTGCCTCGACTACCGCTGCCTACCTTTTCGGGCGCATACGAAGAATGGGCGAGCTTCTGCGATTTATTCACTTCGCTGGTGCATAATGACTCCCGCTTATCAGACGCCACGAAGCTTCAATACTTGAAGTTGTGCTTGACGGGCGGGGCCGCGGAGCTCATCAGGGACGTGTCGACAACGAACGCGAATTACGTGGGTACATGGAAAGCGTTGAGGACTCGGTACAATAACCCGCGCTTAATAGTCAACAAGCTACTTAGGTCATTCATGGAGATTCCGAGTATGAGAGTAGAGTCGGCGACTGCCATGCGAGCGTTCGTGGATGAATCGCAGCGTATTGTTCGGGCTTTGGAAAACTTACAATTGCCAGTCAGGCACTGGGACGTGTGGCTAGTATTTTTGCTGGCTGATCGGTTGGATGCGGAGTCACGAAAATTGTGGGAGGCCGAGCTCAGCGCTAGAGATTTGGAGGATAGCGCAGACGGGAGCCCTGACGGGCCGGATGCCCTTAATTCTCAGCCGAAGTATTCTGATTTAGTTCGATTTTTGGAAAAGAGAGCCCAGGCTCTTGGCATGATTTCGACGGATAGAAAGGCGGAAAAGAGACCGGTGTCTGGCTCGGCACCGGCACAGGCTCGGAAAGTTTTTCACGCGGGCGCGACTCAGCAATCTGCTTCTTCGAGGTGCCTCTTGTGCTCGGGAGCGCACCCACTGTGGAAGTGCACTAAAATGAAGGAGAAGGCTCCGCATGACCGATACTCGACGGCGCGTCGGCTACAGGCCTGCTTTAATTGCCTCGGGTCGCATAAGGCTAACGCGTGCCCTTCTTCGGGGCGTTGTACCAGTTGCGGAGGCAAGCACCACTCGATGCTTCACCTCAAGCCTCCAGGAAAATCTGAACGGCAGAACTCGAGTGGTTCACAGCAGCAGGGATCGGGCGGCGGTCAGGGCGTGGGGTCCAGGGTCGGCGCGGCTGCTGTAGCGTTGCATGCGTCCGCGATTGCGACGTTGAGTCGCGGAGTCCTTTTGGCTACTGCTCGAGTGACGGTGGTGGGTCCAGCTGGAGATAGCACCGTCGTTTGCGCCCTTTTGGATCAGGGCTCCGAGGCGTCCTTCGTATCAGAGTCGGTCGTGCAGTTGTTAGGCCTTTCGAAGGAGCGTGTTTGTGTCGCTTTGAGCGGCCTGGGCACCAGTTCGGTGGGTATTGCGCGTGCGACCACGGAACTTGTTTTGAAATCATCGACCGATGAGGGCTTCGCGATTCGGACAAGCGCGTTTGTCCTCCCTCGTCTCACTACGCAGCTCCCGGCAAAGAATATCACTGATTTAGACTTGAGACGCTTCACCGGGTTTAAGCTCGCTGATCCGGAATTTTTCATTTCAAAGAAAATCGACCTCATTCTGGGTGCCGATGTTTATGGGCAGTTGCTCCGACCGGGCTTGGAAAGATTGGTTCCTTCACGGATCGTCATGCAAAATACGGCATTTGGATGGATTGTCTCGGGTGGGTTGCATGAGGAGCGCTCACGGCGGGCGGAGCAAGCTGACTCTCGAGTGTATGTACAGGCGCTGCACTGCGCTGCGTCGGATGAGTTGGAACGGTCACTAAAGCGATTTTGGGAGCTCGAGGACTTACCGGTGACGCAGGTTAAAATGAAGCTCGAGGACGAGGCTTGCGAGAAAATATTCAAAGAGACGCATGGGCGCGACGCGGATGGAAGATATGTCGTGCGGCTGCCATGGAAGGCAGATTTACCGTCTGGAGCGGCTGAAACAAGGCGGATGGCCGTTGGCTCCCTTTCTTCCATGTACCGTCGGTTTGCGCGCGATCCCCAATTGGCGCATAGTTATCAACAATTCATGACGGATTATGAGCGACTGGGCCATATGACACGGGTTCCGGACTCTGAGGTGCGCGAGGATAAAGCGTGGTATTTGCCTCACCATGCCGTGGTGCAGTCAACGACGGCTGATTGGAAGCTGAGGGTAGTCTTCGACGCATCGCGGCGAACTCGGGATGGCCTTTGCCTTAACGGATTTCTGC